GGGGGGGGGGGGGGGGGGGGGGGGGGGGGGGGGGGGGGGGGGGGGGGGGGGGGGGGGGGGGGGGGGGGGGGGGGGGGGGGGGGGGGGGGGGGGGGCGGGCGAGGTGGATAACACACGTTAGACACTTTATGGCCGGAGCATTATACAGAGGGGGAAGGCCTTTACGGGGCGCGTAAAGCTAGCGCATTGACATGCCCGACGGAGTCTAGATTAACCAACCTGCATGTAGGATTGCTTCATGGTAGTGACAGGGTTGTTGTGAGTGTGCGATTGCGATGTAGAGTAACCGGCCTGATGATGATAATGGTGATGATGTTGGCGATGATGATGATAATAGGAAGGATGCTGCTGCCGCCACCATTGTCCGCCGGAACCGGAATCTTGGACCGCCTGTTGGCCGACCTGGCCCCTTCCTATCACTCCCACGCGACTTACTTTTTTCTAAAACACATCCCAATGTGTGATCGCGCCTCACTGTCTCATAAAATTTTGCTAAGACGCGGCGCGAAAATCTTCACGGCAACATTTTCAGACGTTTCCGGAAAAGAACGCGCGCGGCTCCCTTCGTTTCTTCACGTCGCACCTCGAATTGTAGAGTCGTCGAATGCGACTTCTATTCGGCCCATTGACGCGATAACCAGCGCGTTTTGCTCCCGTATCCGCTAATGGTGTAACGTAATTTTCGCAATAATTATGATAATCGCCGATTCTGATAATGGCGCGTTACACGTGTCAGATTGCGGTATAACATCTACGACCTCGGCGCGCGTATTCCGCGTGCGCGCGCAAGCAAGACTTCCTTTCCTTTCGCGATCGCGGATTCATACCCGCCGATCCCGGTGCGAACAACAGCGTATGCAAAGTCGGGATTCGAATGATATTATCGTGTGTGTGCGACGGCGCTCTTCGATCGGAAAGCGATGCGAACCGTGTTATAATTCGCAAGCGGATACTGTATCGTGCGTTCGTGCAGGTATCGTATACCGTGCGCGTTTCTAAAGGACTGGACGCGGTCACACATATGCACGCATGTAGGAGAGATCTGGGACTAGATGTCCCATACTTCAGAATTTCAAACTTCTCAAACAACCAATTATTGTGAATGGCTGTATAAACATGATAAAGGCATCTTTATTTCTTCTATATGTTAATGCTCGCCAAGATCCTATTAATCGTGTATTTTGTTTTGTATGAAGCAAAATACAAACATGCAGCAACGTGGCCCTCTTGCTCTGGTATTGGATTCAGTTGTTCAATAGCGCAGGATAAGAAGACCACGTATAAAATGAATGTTAGTAGTTCCGAAGTCTTTGCGAAAAGAGTCTCCATAGCTTTCCTGCTGACCTTTAATTGTGGGCCAACTTTACCTCGTTCGCCTTGTATAATTTTAATTTTATGTATGAAAATTGCTTTTACTATCCGAAACAGTGTATCAATGCAAGAAACTTCACTCTAGTTAATAACACGTTGTTTAACTTTATTCATTCACGATGGAAAATATTAAGACAAAATTTCGGGAGGCTCAAAAATTTATTTCGCTACTGTTAAATCAGTTTTTAAAAATATGTTTAACTGTAATATTACTTTGATTTTAATGAAACTGAGGAAAAAATGTCCTAAAAGAACCATTTCGCGATTTTATATCCACCATCCTTCTCGAGATGAATACTAAAAAAGCATATGAGCAACATGCCCTTGGGGCTATCTAGATCCGGTCTTTCTTACACACAGCGTTATGGATGCTTGAACATTTCCTACATCGAGAGTTACAAGATTATATGTATATGAATAAGATTGGATCTATTATAATTAAAGTAATTAAAACCCTATCATTATAACTAGAGTTACTTATGCTTAAGTTACTATTGCTATTATTACTATGACTTCCAATCTCAAATATTATGTGTAAGGCTGAACATTATATATAATTCTCGATCCAGTAAATGTTCGGGTATCCATAACGCCGTGTGCATAGACACAACACATCGTCAGTAATATCGGCGCTTGATTAACGCATACGTGACCATCGCCGCGTATCTCGTATCCTTTATTAATTAGCGTGGAACGCTTATCCCCTCCGCCGTCCAACTATTCGCCATCGGTCGACAGCGGATTCCTGACTTTACAAGAGAAGGCGGCTCGTTTCGATTCGTCTCGAAATTACGTCGGCGATGTCGCGCGTCCTCAACGACGAGTAAGATGCCAGGTAGACTTTCATGATTATCACAATGTGACACAACTGATGATGGGAAAACTCTTCAAACTTTTTAATTACATTTATGAGGCAAAGGTACTGTATTTTGAAGGAGTATATGAATTAATCGTCGAATTTACATTATATAATAATGTGAATTTTGTGTTACGTTAATATGGCAAAAAATTCGTCAAAGTTACACTTAAATTTTTATATTACATTCTACAGTTCGGGATAAATAAATTTTGATAAATTTTTCTGTACCTCTTTCTTATTTCTATCTTGGTTCTAATTTGAAATTCTCTTTTATGTAACTCACTCACAGCCAATCAAGAGATTTATCAAGATACATTTGAAGACATTTTTAACGTGATAAATGTGATAAATGTATCACGGCAGTTAATGACGAAAATTCTTCAATTTTTTACATTAATGAGGTAAATGTACTGTATTGAATTAATCATTAAATTTGTATTGTACGATAATGTAATATTTTTACCATATTAATGCAGCAACAAATTTACTAAAAGTTGCATTCAGATTTTCATATTACATTTTATCATTTTCAGTAAATTTTAATAATTCCTTTTGTATTTTTTTTTCTTATTTCTACTTTAGTCCTTGTTCTGAACTTTTTTTTCATCGATAATAATTGATAAATTTGTTAAAATTAACTAATAAATTGATATAAATTTCATTGATAATGAGTTCACATAGTAAAAGCCTTAGCCATTTTATGTGATAAATGTGAATGCCGTACAAGTCACTTATGAGAGATGTAACTTTTCCAGATCTACTAATAAGCTCCCGCCTTATTCACGCCAAATTTACACACAGGTATTTACATGCCTCGTGAAATGCTCGATTATGAGGAGAATTAATAGAACGCCTCTCGTTTTGATCTATCTTGTCTCGTCTGATCGAAATTACGCCGGCGAGTGTTTCTCCTCCACTAGGCGATGTCGCGCGACCGCGTCTACCACAACGAGGAGATGCTTCGCAAAATGCTCGATTATCAGGAGAGTTAATAGAAGTGTAATGCAAAGCGACGAGGTATCCAGCGTTCGCTGGATACGGTGGAATATAGCGTGTGTAGCGGTACACACTGACGTTTCCGCAAGCGCGCGGAATACGTTCTCGAATGAATCTTGAATATGCCTTCCCATCTCTTTTTTCCTCTTTTTTTTTCTTTTCTCCTCGACGCAACGTTGTTTTATCCGGGGAAAAAATGGAAACTGCCTCGTGTGTACGCGCATACATACGTCTACGTGTATATGTATGCGTGTGTGTGTGTGTGGATGTGCGCACGTAGGCGTATGTGTGTTTGTATGCATGCATATGTAACAACGTATTATAATGACAAAAAATATATATAACGAGTCGCTTTACATGCTCATATGTCTTACAGTAATAACGTAACGTCCACCGCACGCATGCACGCATGCATGCACGCGTACACAGTGCTTACATAATACCAGTACGAACACACATGTCAAACGGCGCGATTGCGCAACGACCAATTGAATCGGTGTGTTTGTTAATTGGAAAGTGTAAGTTATGCATTCGTAGCGTCGCGTAGCGTTCGCAGGAAAGTACAAGGGAGAGCGGGGAGAAACTTTGCCAAAGCGAGTACAAGCGCGTACAAGCGCGCACTCCTAATATTAATGTTAATTAACGTGGCACCATCGGACTGTAATAGATGTAAGATGATTGAGGATTAATTATGCGCCGCGCATTATGCAAGCACGGTTCCCGAGCAATGCTCGAGATGGAAATACGCCCACCGCGTAACGCGCGGACGCCCGCACGAAGATCGGCTTCGACGCGCGATCGAAATAGAAAAACTATTTTCCCGCTCGATAGCCCCGAAGGATAGCCTTTTGTACGTCTCTCAAGGATAGCGTCCGATGGCTATCGTGTCAACGTTAAAAATAAATGCGACGAATTCGCACTGGCGGTTTCTTGCATACCACTGGCGTATATAGAAACAATTCGCACGAGGGGGAGGAGGCGAGAAGGAAAAGGGCAAAGAAACGCTTCTTGGGTTCTCCGTAAGTGGTGTATGATGAAGACGGTATTTTGTCCGAAGAGGGAGATTGGGTGCACCCAAGTCGAAATGTTAGCCTATTTTAGATCTAAACTTTCTAACATGTGTATATCCTGCAGGATCAATGTTTGTACACATAATACATATGGAAACTGAAATCCTACTTAGCGCCTCTAAATGGCAGAAAATGTACCAAATACCCTTGTAGCGAGATCCTCTTAAAGAGGATCTCTTTTCGGCAGAACTAATATATTGAGAAAAAAATGGTTAATTTAACTAAAATTATAGTTAATTTTTATCCCAATTATACTTTTTGATTGTTTTAACGCGAAAATATAATAGTAGTAAATATAAATAAGGTTATCACTAACATAATAGAGTTTAATAAAAAATGATTTTCTTTATCATAATTTGTAGTAATTATTTCTCTATGTGATTATATAATAGTTACGAATACCAAACATTTTCTTCTCATTGTAGATTAAATCAAAGGATCAAAAGATAACACAAGCTTTAGAGTATTAGAATAGGCGTTAAATAGAATATTGAGGTCTAAACTAGGATCAAAGTTTTGATTTGAGCACATGTTAGCACGGTTTCTCTGTGAACGTTCATTTATTTAACGTCAATTCCAGCGAAAACCCGTTTCTTTTTCGGCTTCTTGCGCGCGAGATGAACGAGAAACGGTTAATCTGAAATTGATAGTTGTATATGCGTGAATGACATTGCATGAATAGAGAGAGAGAGAGAAAAGGGAAGAAAAGGAGAGACAAAAAAAGACGGAAAGAGAAAAGGAGAGAGTATCTATAAAATTTAGATTATACGTAAGAGTTGAAACAGACATATACATTTTATTACAACACGCGTTTAAAGTTACAATATCACAACACGAGAGAGACGTTTATGTACGAGGTGGCCCGAATATAAAAGGCGAACCTGAGGAAGAAACACGAGGCTGAGTTCGCCCGACTTTTCGTACATGGGACGCTATATACACGCGACACACGTTTTAGTATCGTCGAGTTACGTTAATATGACATATAGATTACGGGGAGTTATAACTTACAGGCGTACCGGTGCCGGTTGTGCGCGAACATTTATTTATTTAACGCCAATCGGGAGTCGAAGAAGCCGTTTCTTCATCGATAAAAACGGCTAATCCGAAATCGATATCCGCGCGCACGCGGGCGAACATTATTA